TCAAGGTTAAAGACTGAATGACAAACACTTGATAAACAGCAAAACATTTCAGGTTTTTGAAGACAATTGTCTCATTCTATGTAAAGAAATCAACAATTTGTACAATTTCCATGAAACTTAAGAGTAAAAACATCACTGGGATTATTTTATAGTCAATTCACCTAAATCTTACACTCTGGACCTTTAAAAAAATTAATGTGTTCTTATCATTTTCAAATTGGTTTTTCCTTCATCTTCCTGAGTTTGTCTGAAACCAAAGTTGACTCATTGGTTTGTGTCTCCAGACCATTCAGATCATCGTCGGTCTGACCGTTCTGCTGTTTGGGATCGTCACGGTGATTAATGCAGACTCACTTGGCGCTTTCTCCGGCTTTTTCGTCTGGGGACCTTTAGTCGTGAGTCAACCTTAATGTGCTGCTCTGCTTTCAGGCTGTAAAGAGGCTCAGTCCTGTTCTGCTTTACGTCCATTATAAATGCCAATACAGTCATAAAGACTTTGTGTACTGAGCCAGAACAAGTAATTATCACTTGTACTCTTTCAACACACATCTGGGAATTAGTTATACAGCGCCCTCTAATGGTAAATCTCCTTACTGTTCTTCTGGCTTTTTGGGAATATGCAGTTTGCAGACAATGAATAGAAAACGCTTCCCCCTGTTTCCTTTTTATAAATATTTAACTAGAACCTTTATTTATAGGGCAGGGAATAAGACAATTCAACATTACAGTATGCACCTTCATCAAGATTTAATTTCACGAAATCCAGGATTTTATTTGAATGTTCATTTTCATTGTGCCAATGAAAATATAACCATCCTCTCATCAAGTTTCCAGGAAATCCGTATATAACATTAAACATATACATAACATGGATAATAATAAATCAGAAAAGACATGTTGGTAATATCATGATGTACTGGGATTAATGACGGCTTTTTAAGAAACATATATGTTATAAGAAGTGATGTCATTGAGGTCAGAAACTAAAGAATACGTATGTGCTCGTCTGTTGCAGTACATCACAGCTGGATCCCTGACAGTGGCTGCTGGGAGATATCTCAAGCGTTGTCTGGTCAGTGCCTCACTGTTGCTACTTCATTTCAATTCTTCTGGTCTTCCAGCTTCATGCTGGTAATGCGGCAACGACACCGCTAACAAGGCTGAAAAGGTGGAGTTGACCAAGGCCAATGATCGGTGTGGGTCGTCCCTCAACCAGCCAACTTAGCGATCAATAAAGAGTCTGCCCCAGAGTTTGTCCCTTGAGAGGCACAAAGCATTGAAGATCTGCCTCCCTCTGGGTCTGACACGGGGGGAGGTCTGACATGTAGCCCAGGACAGACCCAGATGGAGGCAGATCTTCCATCATTTCTTTCAGTCTAGCTGTAAAGTTCTTCATTTGAGATCTTTTTAGGCCAGAAGATGTATCATCCATTGTGGAAGGCATAAATCTTGTTTGCATGACCTCCCAATGTTTGCGCAGGTTTTTCTCCGGTTACTCCGTCTTCCCCCCACAATCCGAAAGACATGCATATAGGGGATAGAGATGCTAAATTACCTGTTTGTCTCAGCCCTGCGATGTGCCGGCGACCTGTTCAGGGTCATGTGGAATGTCAGCTGGGATTGACACCCTGCCACCCTCAAGGATAAGCGGTATAGATAATGGGTGAACTGGTTGTGATCGTGATCCAAACACCTCTGATATAAAGCCTCATTGAACTAGTCAGACTAAAGTAAACCCGGGTTGGTCAGAGCAGAATGCACCAACATCACCTCACTGTGCCCGGGAGTCCTGACGTTGTGTCTCTTGCTCCCTGCCAGGTGAACGCTGCTATGGCTCTCTGTGTTATTGCAGCACTTTTTTCCACCACTGGGACCATCCTCTACTCTCTGGATGCTGCAGGAATTCTCAGTCGGTGCTACAGTAGTGACTCGTTCTATCCCTGCTACTTGTATCAGGTATGCAGCTTGATGGTCGTTCACACTATACATCACGGCGGAAAGAAGTTGCAGACTCCTGGAAGCTTTAGTCTTCTTAGTCTTACTCATTATTTGATCATTACTGTACTAATCTGCTCACTACGATCTTTTTGAATACCTCTTTGCCTCTTTGCATTGAACTCCATTTAAAAAAAATGTATGTGTCATGAATTTGAGGGAACCAAAGTTTTACGAGCCTAGTAGGGCAGACCTGGCTGCTGATTAACCGGCCTCCACTCAATTATTCTATTTGTTGTATGTGTTTTGCCAGAGTCGGTCGCAGGGCTTTTCGGGGGTCTTGGCTTTTTTCAACCTTTTAGAGCTCATTGTCTCGATCGTCGTCGCAGGATTGGCCTGCAACGCCTCCTGCCACTGCTGCGGAGAGGTGAGTCAACCAGCGACTGAGAGCGAGTCAGTGTCAGATAGATTATTCTTCAGTGCTCACGGTAACATATGATGAACTGACGCCTGCTGCACACCAGAGGATTATTATTATCTGAATCAACCCTCTTGATGATCATGGGAGCGATCGTCCGATTCTCTGTGTTGATATGATTTGTAAACCAGGATCGCAGCATGACATTATTCATTAAAGCATTTCAGCCTCCCACCCTGAGCGTGATGTCAGAGATAATTGGCCGCCATGCAAACATGGTCCAGTTTCTGTCATATGTTCAAACGCCAAGTGTGTGTTCCTGCGTCTCGACTGGATCGTCTTGTGTTCAATGCTACATGTTATGTCTGTGGTCAAAGCAGCTGAAATTTGAAAATCCACTAGTGTGCAGCAGACATTAGTTCCAAACTCAGATCAGATAGCCTTGAATAATATGTAGAAGTAAATATGACAATTAGACAATTGAAAAGAACTGTTGACCTCATCAGAAACAGATGTGGCTTCTTCTCTCCTCGCACCTGCAGCTCGTGAGGAATCGTTGATGCAGTGAAATGAGATTCATTCTGTGTGTTTTGTCTTCCAGCCGAGCACAGTCTTTGTTTATCCTCAAGCGTCAGCCTCCCCCGTGGTACCAGCCGCGGCTCAGCCCGTCCCACAGGTCAGGTCACATCTGTGAAGTCATGAGCACTTGTGGATCCTGTCTCTAACATCATAAGGACATTTTAACCCATATGTGTGTCTTACAGCTGGAGAACAATTTTAACAAACCACAACTTCCGGGAGCCTCGGGTCAAACTCAGCCTCCAACCTACGATTCCGTCATCGGCTGAAAAGGAAAGGACCTGCCTCTTCCTGCATAACCTGGCAACATGATGACTGATACCAATCTCTTTATATGCACGCCCCTGAGCCAAATGTTTTCAATTTTCTCTCATCTTCAAAATATTAAGAACCTTACATCCCCAAATAGGAGAAGCACGATATGTCATGTTCACATGATAAAACTATATTCTTATAACTGCACTATTCCAGTTTGCACAACCCATGTGTGACTTATGACTGCTTACTATATATTTACTATGCCGCACTGTGTGCTATGCTTTGAGCACTTATTATGCATACTTATGTATTCTGTCTTACACCAGGGATCAGAGATAAACTGTATTTTAATCCTTTACTTGACAATAAAGTTGATTTTTTTCTTTGAGATGAATCTATTTTTATTAAAGAGAGGACATAACGATATAATCGGTGATTAATTCACGAGGAACCTCATTAGCTGCTGATTTTAATAGGTTGGTATAAAACCTTAGTGTACTAATCTACTCATGATTATGGCCTTGAACAGCCATTTTCAAGAAGGCAGACTTCAAAACTGATTTCCTCTTCTGTTCCTCTTTCTCTCTCTTATCCACCATCTATTCACAGCATGGCACTCAGAGGAGCTCATTCCTCAACATTTTCCCCGATTTCTCGGAATGATGTGACAATCTGGATGAAAAAATTCAGACATGTTTAGGGATTTGGTATCAATGAGTTTATGCAATAAAAATTAAAATCTGGATCAAGTGGATTTTATGAACCAAACGATTAATCAGCGAAGCATTTAGCAAATCAAGCCATGAAGTATCTTGGTACACTCAGGAATAAACAGCGTTGAGAGTGGTTTGAATTGAACTGCAACGTGATCATCTTCATCACCATCAGCTTAGTGCACACTGTCAACGGTATGAAGGCCAACATGACGGCACAGAGCAGCTCTGGAGGTAGAGTACTGGAGGAGAGTCTGCCAAACCCCATTAACATTTTCAGACATTTTCTGATATAATTTTACAACATTTTACAGCGAGAACTACAGTGATTAATCAGAATTTAATTATTTTAATAAAGAATGTTTTTCTTCATCTCAATTATCTGAAGAGAATCAGGGAACCATGCCGTGTGATCTCCTTACGTATCTGAGCATTGAGCCATTTTAAAATGGAGAAATGAATCCTACAGGCAGAATCGTAGAGAGAAAATATGGTCCATTCAATTCTGTTAACATTTTATCTTGAGATCATAAAGTATCTAAAAGCAGCTTTATTGGTTCAGTGGCACAGCAGCTCAATGTACCTGTAACTCGTTCATTAAAGATTCACTTACAAACAAACTTACACAATTCAGATTCTATTTTGCCAGAGTCTGGTAATGTATCAGTGCATGTGGACATACTCAGACTGATGGTATCACGTTTAACCGGCTCCCCTGAGCATCAGGTAGACGGCAGAGATGGTGATGGCGGTGGCGGTGTAGGTAAACACAGCATTATAAATAGTATTTGTCCTTATTCGTTCTCCCAGCGTCCTCTGCGTCTCCTCAAGATGCCTGGTCGCCGCCTCAGATTCCCACAGGTCCACTCTCTCTTCTCTCTTTGGTCTCTCTACCTGCAGCTCTCGAGCTTGTGCTTCGGCCTGTGGTTTGGCTTCCAGCAGCTCTTTCATCAAAGACAATTTGCTCTCAACTCTACCAAGTCCTTGCTCCAGTTGACCCAGTTGTGGTTGGAGGGACTCGAGCAGGGACTGTGTCCTTTGGCTAAATATGGTGAAGTCTTTTAAGGCTGAAACAGGCACACTGGGTGACTCTGGAGCTGGAGCTCTCTGGACTTGGACGACGGCGCTCCTCTGTGTGAAGGCGTCAGTCAGAGTGACCTTGAGGCTGTCAATGAGAGTTTGGAGCTCGTCCTGCTGGGAGCGATGGTTTCCAGCCTGGACTTTGAGAGCTTCTTGCAGATTCTCTGGACCTTTCTGGGCCTCCAGCAGCAGACTCTTCAGCTCCTACAGATGAAAGAAGTGAAGATGCATCGGCTGAGCGAAGGTTAAAGCTCACTGAAATCCTGGTGAGGTGCTGGTACAATTCAAATATACAGCACACGACACAAGAGCAAGTGGCAAAATCTGTCCACACACATAAAACCAGCAACCAGCTGAGAGACCAAAGCTTTCATTAACCCTCCTCACCTGCAGACGGACACGGTTCACATACGTTGATCCCATGACCCCTATCAGGGCTCCCAGCACCGAGCCAATGATGGACCAGTTCTTGGTCCGTTCGGCTCTTGTCCTCTCCTTTTCGTGGCTCCCTCTGACGGCTGCTGAAAACAAATTGAACTTCTCCCTCTCTGAACCCTCAGCATTCTCATACGCTGTCCGGTGACGCCGCTCCTCCTGTGAGTTCAAGTCAAACAGTTTAAGCAGATCTCTTTGGAATAAAAAGCATATTTCCCATAATATCATTATGATTTCATGATTATTTAGTGGCTTGTAAGATGCCCCTTCGTGAAACTATTCTGCAGGATAAATGCACTTCCACTTCTTCTTCTGACATCAAACTATCTGCATCTTGAACCCAGTAAAACTTTAAACAACCACACAGGAGCATTTTCAGTCCCATGAACTAACCTGCAGCAGTTTGTGCTCCAGTGTTGCCAGCTCCAGGTAATGAGACTCCTCCCTAGACACTCGGTCCAGCCGGTCTCGGACCTCCTTCAGCCGGCTCTGCAGGGCCTCCAGGCTGGCATGTGCCTCACGCACCATCCCTCTGGCCACCATGAACGCTGCCTCAGCCTTAAAGAAACACATCCATCTTGAAGCAGTACAAATTGCATATGTAAAATCAAACACATGCTGAAGATTAAAATGACTCTAAGGCAATCCCATATTCACTTTTCTTTGAGACATACAAACCTTGTCTAAAACAGGCTTAAAGAAACAATATGTAAGAATTCACTGTCAAATTCACATTCCAATCTAATAAAAGGCAGCAAGTAAAATGAAAGCCGGATGTCCACCCCTATCATAAGAAACATGGAACCACACTCTTTGCTCCCCTCTGTTTTGAAGAGGAGATGATTCAGATTTCATGATCACTTTGGAAGCTCGAGATTGTGATGTTGTTCAATTGTAATGAGTCGTACTTAGAGGTGTGTCCCATATTTGACCCATTAACATTAGAGTGGGTCAGCTGAGCTTGAAAGTCGAAGTGCATCTTACTGTCTGCTGACCTCAGTGACGTTGGTCTGAGCCTCCCGGACCTCGTTGAGCCCGACAAACTCCTCGTACCTCTCCCACCAGTAGTTGATTGAGGCAGTGGCCGTTTGAGCCGACCTCTGACCCCACTGTCGCCCCAGCTCACCTGCATACTGGAGGAGGGAGAGACGGCTGTGTGTTAGGATGGTTCTGTGATATTTTTGTAGTAGTGGACGTGGATGAATATTTTGTTTGTTAATACAGTTTGAATAATTCTGTGGTTATCGCTCTAGCATGTTGGCAGTGAAGTCTAGGGTCTGGAAAGTAAGTATGAAAAAAGAGGGAGGACCTCCTGTACCTGTAGGGCAGCCAGGGCTCGCTCCTTAACCACCTCAGCTCCACCCTTCCCCTCAGGGAGTGCAGGGTTAGGGGTTGGTGGGGAGCTTGGCTCATGACGAGCACTGTAGGTACGGACTAAAGTAATTCTGCCACACAGAGATCCAGAGAGGGAGAGGCGGGAAAGACAGCACGAGCCATGAGCCCAGCGACAGATCTGTGCTCCTCTGTACCTGCGGCGGTAAGGATAACAATCAAGTTCTGCTGTTTGTACACAGAAGCAGCCATAAAGCTCATGTCCGCTCTGCAGTGGACGACATTATGTAGAAGTACCTCATGGAGAAGAGCAGCAGTCAGGGGAGCAGCTTGGAATCTGTCAGTGCTTCACACTCGATGCAGCTACAGAGTTGAAACTGGAACAGGAACAAAAAATAAAACAATTTAGATGATTGATAAACGACAAACTGTTCAGGTCATTTCTCTTTTTTATATTTCATTACACCAGCAGAGAGCCATTGTAGTTCATTAAATTACCCAACCACATATAACTTCAACTAAATGAACAACCTACAAACAGTAATGCAGTAAAATGAATGACACACACAGTCTTCACTAATGAATGATAACATCCTCATGTTGGCTCATGATTTATTAAATCAACAATGGGACTATTATGTTTACAAGTTTCTTTTTCAACTTTAATATAATGTGTGATCTCACCAGATCTCTGTTTATGCCCTTGCTTCATCCCCAGCTAGCCGGTTAGCACCGCGCCGCTAACAGCTAAAGTGGCTTTTCAGATGTAAATCTCTCCTCGCGTGGTTTCACAAACACAACGCGGAATTAAAACGAACGTACCTGCTCCGTTGGATGTTGTCACGGCGTACATGACACTCGGGTACGGTTTCTTCGTGGCTAAACTGGTTAGCATTTCGAAATGGAAACGACTAGCAACCCGGGGTTTTCCTTCAGGCACGCAACGGTCATTCTACTTCCGGTTCGGAGGCCACTCGGGGGAGGGGTCCTCACAGCGCGGATTAGAGAGACAGCTCCTTCATCTGCTCGCGACTACAACAATCGTCCATTTCTTCCCCCTCGTCCAGTGTCACCAGGTTGAAACATGTCTGGCAGAGAAGGTGAGGTGTCGTTTCACACGAGAGTCGGTTTCATTTTTCACAGCGAATGGCAAAGACAGTTTTTTTTTTTTTTTTTACGGTGTAAGAAAACTCAAAACGCTAACGGCTGCAGAAGCTAGCTGTTAGCCGTTAGCTAGCCGACAGCGCGAAGCTGACAACCACCTTTTCCCCACACATCAAACCAAAAATCCTCCTCGTGAATAATTAGTGCTGCTGATTAACATGTCAACACGACAGATTCTGTGTTTGGTGCGTGAGTCGTGAGTCCTGTGCTGTTTTCTGAGGGAGATCCTCGCCTTGACGTGGAAATTAGCTAAATGAGTTTCTCGAATTGTCGTGTTGTGTTTCCAGCAGCTGTTATATCCGTGCATTTTATCACCTGAAATGATTTCATCGGTGTGCATCAATGAAGTAAAACAATAACGTGCTCCTGATGGGCATGGAATTTAAAAATCCAAGCCTGTGATGTTTAAATTGTCAGATTTGTCAATGGGGTTTGGTCTGGCCTCACCATCAGGTTACGTTTCCAGTGTTTTGTTTGTTTCTTTGAGCAGATTGTGAGCTGACATTCATTTATTGTCCTCAGGAGGCAAAAAGAAACCACTGAAGGCCCCCAAGAAACAGTCCAAGGAAATGGATGATGTAAGTCTTCCTCTCAGACTAAACTGTTGGTCCATGACAATAATACACGATGAATATACATCAGAATATACATAGTACTTATATTGTTTACAATATGACAGAAAATATTTTTTGGGGGGACTCCTTTGATTCGTAGTTTGTTTTAAAAATGAGTTATAAATAACTATCAGTTGTAACCCAAATATTAGAGCAACACGAGTCAGACGTGTGGTCAAAGGATTGTAAGCATGCGTTGTGTCTGCAGGATGATATGGCCTACAAGCAGAAGCAGAAGGAAGACCAGAAGGCTTTGGAAGCATTGAAGTCCAAAGCTGCAAAAGGAACTTTTGGTAAGACCCAGTGAGAGCTAGATGAGAAACGCTCTCATCGTAGATTCTTTAAGCTGTTTGCAGGATCAGACAGTGGAGCCAAGAACAACAATAGCAACATGATCTATAAACATATGTGGATACTTTAAGCATTTAAACCTCACATGAAATGAATAATATAAACTCACAGTAACTTCACATTTCATTTATAGTCTTTGTCTTTTAGTCACAAACACATGTTAACTTTCCTTTTCTCTCCCCTCCTCCAGGTACCAGCGGAATCAAGAAATCCGGCAAGAAGTAAACTCTGAATCTGACAGTGATGTTCTTTTCCTCCCAGGCTTTCCTGCGTCTGTGACGTTTGTATGCTTGCTGAAAGACTCTAGTGTGCTCTGTTAAACATGAACCCTGTCAAAATCAAAACTGGCCTTGGTGTTAAGCTCCTCCAGTGGGAATGTGTAGAAAAAAGATATTTTTGACGATATCAGGAACAGGAATATCTGTTGCCAATCTGGCCTGGTACACGCAGCATGACAGATACTGGCATGAAATTAGACGTTCCACACTGTAATATTTGTTTTTGAAAACACTTCACTCAGTCATACACACTGACCAAAAACCTGCAAATGCAGTTTGGAAGTGGAAATTTAAACAAATTCTGATCTCCACTGTTTCTTGTTTTGTCTCCAAGTCAAACTCAAATCACCCTCTTTTATTTCTTATGTTTGTTTTGTTAACAGGGAGATGCCAATAAAGTTTTTGTACTTACATGTTTTTTTAATTATTTGTAAATAATTCTTCGAGTCTTAACCATCACAATGTGTTTAAAGTAACGGCAGCAAGGACACATTAAATAATTTAATTTTTTCCTATAAAATCAATGACACGTTAGAGTCCGAGAGGCATGTCCCAGTGATGTGTATGAACACGTGGAAATTGATTTAAGTGAACATTAAAGTTTACTCTCCCAGATCCAGAGTCTTATAACTACTTTAACTATATAACTAAGTTTTGAACCGTCAATCTTTACACGTTGATCATAGATTGTTCATAAACTAGTTTCTGACCTATTCTTGTTTAAAGTGTGGTTTGCTTGCTGTATATTTGTGTATCTAGACGCACAGTCTGGGCAGAAGAGTAAAAACAAAAACACGTCACAGGTAAAGATGTAAATATTGATGAATTAAATAAACCACAACAAAGTTCTGAATGAGAATCAGGAATTTCACCAAATTTTCTGCCACAAATGAATCTGTAATCATGATTTATTTGACAAAACCTGATATCTCGATTCAGTCAATAGTAGAAACACTAACTGGAAAGTGTTTCTCACAGTGCAGTCATCCAGAAAATCTGATATGGGCAGTAGTTTCAGGATGGAGACCCAGGCTCAGTCAGATGAACCCAGATCAGAAGCAGCGACCATTTTTTGTCTGTTGTGGCAAAATGTCCCAGTTGTCTGAGGTGATACACTGAGCGGTTCTGTAGGTTGTGTGGTAAAGTGAGTAAAAGCTTATTGTTTGGTCGGTTGTCGACGGATCTGCCTTCCTGAGTTCAGACATAATTTCCACTGTTCATCTTGGCCATCTTCTGTTGGAGGATCTGGATCTCCAGCTGGAGCTTCTCCCTCTCCAGCAGCAGGTTTCCTCTCTTCAGCTCCAGCAGATCCTGGTCCATGGGCACGAGGCCCAGAGGTACTGGCTCAACCTGCCACTGTGGTTTCACATCTGCAGAGAGAAAGAACACTGAATCCTGCAGCTTCATCACCACATGTTACCTTGGCTGAGTTTCAAACAATACAGTAGTTCAGAATTTTTTATTTAATTAAGTCAGCAGAATTGGCCACAGATACAGATGGATTATATTTAATATATAATATTAATATTTTAAAACAGATCCCCTAATTGTGATTTGTGAATATGGACTATAAAAATAGAATTCATAAAAAATGAACAGTTATTTCTATAATCATATAATTACCATCCTCTTCATCTATCTGGTTTACAGACTTCAGCTTCACCTCCACTGGGTAATGGTCGCTGACTTTCAGAGCCTGGAAAATAAACAGTTGTGTATTGATGAACAACGACTGTGTGAGCTAAGATACGTTGGCCTTAAGTAAATACAAACTAGAAATGTACATGCAAATCTAAAGCAAACAGTAGATGCTGGGCTGATAGCTGGTACATTGTAATCTTAGTCATGTCTTTGTGATTCTGTGTCCAACAATACATCGAGTGTTTGCTATCTTAGTAAAGTGTTAGCCTCTGTAGCATGTAACAGCGATAGTCTCACAGGTGAAGCTAGGAATGAGAATCATAGCCCAATGTCCGAGATGAAAATAAAATAGTACCTGGCAAAAAAAAAAGATTTCCTCCTGTTTAAAATCTACATACATGACATTTCTTTACGATGATAAAATATCGAACGTCGGTCTGACCTGCTCCTCACTGAGTCCATAAGCCGTCTGGAAGTTGAAGGGTTTGGCAGAGTTTGGTACGATGGCCTGGAGCATGTCGTCTCCGTAGACCACGATCCTGAACAGAGACAACACAGTATTTCAGTTGTTCGGTGAATACACACATGCAAATATAAAGAAATAAATGTCCACTACAACCTGGAGGAGGCAAGGTTTATGATCTCTACTGCAGTCAGCCACCAGGGGGCAGTCTAGATGCTTTGGCTTCACTTTTGGGGAACTGTGATTCCACCATTATCATTTATTGATGGATTCTTTTGTACATGGATTTTATATAATCTGTCAAAATACAGATATTAAGAGATAATAATGACGCGTTAACGCAATTATTGTGATTCGTTGTTTGAGGCCTTTGTAAAAATTGACTTATAATTACAACTTGTTTGTTTTCTTCTATTTTCCACCTCTGGGGTTTTCCCGTGTGATACCTGTCGTATGTGTGGTTGTTTCCGGTGCTGGCCGTGGTGTCGACATCATCTGCAATCAGCCAGTGGAAGTTCTTGTCGTTGCGGATGCGGATGCCCTTCATCGCGCTCTTGGAGACGTACGAGCCATCGGCGTTGAAGTCGCCCAGGATCATCACGTTCTGGAGCACAGAGGAGACGGAGAGCTGAAACATTCTCCACAATAAATCTGAGAAACAGAAACATTACTCCTGAACAAACTTCAGTGTGATGAGAACAATCTAAATTTCTAGTTTTGGTTTATGATCGATACGGCAGCCGGCCACCAGGGGGCTATCCAGATGTTTTGGCTTCAGTCACGGTCAACACTGTCAGTACAGATGATCCTTACATCAGTGCTCCACTCCTTCTTGACGTTCAGGAAGACGTCGTACAGCTCGTCCAGCTCCGTCTCTGAGTCCTGTGGTTTGGTGTGAACTGGGATCATCACCAGGTCCTTCAGCACTACGGCAGACACACACACACACACACACACACACACACACACACACACACACACACACACAAACACACACACAGTTTTTACCTCCTGTAAACTTGGTTGCCATGTTTACTACAGCCAGATTTAATTCTAAAAGGCGAAACTATTGTGGAATTGTTCCAATATTTTATATCTTTTTTAAGATAATTCCCTTGATATTGATATTTTGATATATCAAGTTCTGAGTGTGTGTGCGTGACACACGTCTTCTACCTGTATTGAGGCATCTGAATCGCAGGATGTATGGATCTCTGGCGAAAACGTCTCCTCCCTCAGTCAGCTGGTCGTCAAACTGATAGGAGTCCACCAAGTCGACCATGTCATCCCTACACACACACACACACACACACACACACACACACACACACACACACACACACACAGATCAAAGCTAATTTAAAGTTTATCATTGTTTTTTGAACATATAACGTGCTGAGTGTGAAATGAAACTCTGATTCTGATAACAGATGAACCAGACCAGAGTCAAAGCCGACAGTCTGTGATCTTGAAATATTCATTCTTTGAAAAAGACCCAAATTTAATATAATTACAAGAAAAATTAAGCCGATGCAATTTAAACATCAACATTTCACGAGTTTTAATGTCTGAATGATAAATCCACTCACTCTGTGTTGTGTAAATCTATGAAAACCTTGTTTTTATCCATGTTTTAACATCATACTCTCTATATATCTATATCTATATATTGCAGTTGATCACAGAGTGTTTGATGCTATAAACCATTATAAACTCTGTCTGCTCCATCATCAGTTTGAATAAATCTCAGACCAACAGAAAGTCTCCATGTATAAAGAGCATCATTTGTACAAACTGTCGTGTGTCAGTTCAGTCTGAACTCTCACCTGTACAGGAACATGAACTGCTCCTTGTAGCGTGTTCGACCCAGACGACTGCTGATCTTCAGAGTGTAGTGATGCTTCCTGCTGTTTCTGCACAGACGGACACACAGACAGAAAAGAGTAATAATGTAATAAAGTAATAAAGAGTAATAATGATAACAAGAATGATAGTAATGATAGTAATGATAGTAATGATGCTGCTGCACTCACTTGTTGAGTGCCTCCAGGAAGGTTTTTACAGACTCTCCACTGATGTCCACCACTTCCAGGATCAGAATGATGTCATATCGAGACACGATCTGAGGGAGAGAGAGAGAGAGACTGAGTCAGTGCGACAACAAATCTTTGTAACATGAGTGACGTAGGATTAATTATGGATTTATTTTACGGTTGAACTAATTAGGCTTAAACCAGTGATTGGAAAAAAACATTCTTGGAAATACAACAACTGATGAATCGAGGAAATAATCATCAGGTTAAGGAATAATGAAAAACAGTCAGCACTCATACGTTCACATGTTTAATTTAACTGATATTGATTAAAATGATAAATAAATAAATTGTAAATAAAACTTAAAGTGTTGTTATTCACTGTTTTATTGATGTAGTAGAATAATTTTCAATTCTTTTAAATTTTAATGATAGCATGTGTGTGTGTGTGTGTGTGTGTGTGTGT